AACAGAAAACCAAGGCATCAAATAATTGAGTAGGCTAAGATCATATATACAAGTTAATAAAAAGCTAGAATTAAAACCTTTTTTTAAAGTCTATTCCTATCTATACTCTACAAAGGCTGCATCTTATTTTTCATATCTGTCAGCATTCTCCAATTGAGGATTAGGGTTTTAAGTATAGTCTATAAATCTGTCAAAGAATACTGAGAATATTGGACTTACAGTTAAGGTTTTGCTGTACTCAGCTACCAAAGTACAGTATCCACTCGCCACAAAAGAAACACTGTTACTTGTATAATGTATTTAAATGAATGACCTAATTAATAGAACACTTCAAAGGCTTTCAAAACTTTTTTTGAATCTACCTTATTGTAGAAATTGCCTGCATCTGATTTGGCAAATAAGTTGAATTCCAAAACCTTTATGTATTTATAAATATTTTGCTCTTACTATTGCCATACCTTGTTCAATAGACCAAATAAGAAGTTGTTAACTGACCCTATTAGATCAAAGGGAATGGTGAAAGGTCACTTTTTGACAGTTCACTAAATAACAAATATTCTGAATTGATGAGGTTATCTTCCCAGTGATTTCCTTTCAGAAACAAAAGGCTGTATAAGTCTTTCATCAACACTAGCACAGAAACAATAGTTAACAACTATTGAGCAATACCTATGCACCAAGCACTGCACTTCATGCACTGTGTATTATCATCTAATCTTTACAATGTAGTATTATTGTACCCATCTTAATAGATGGAGAAGCCAAGGCTTAGGGAGGTTAACTAACTTGCCAAAAGTTAACACAACTTAAAAGTAGCACAGTCGGTTTGAACCCAAGTGGTCCGAGTCCATCCTCCAGAGATGACTGTCCAACTGTCAAGCTTATAAACAATAGCTGTGTAGAATCAAGTCTGAGTAGTCAAACTTCCTAAGACTTCCAGGAAGTTTTACAGATGAAATGTGTAGTTATTTTATGGTATGTAAATGACATCAACTTAATAATTTTGTTTATATCCTTGGGAGAAGTTCTGAGAAATTCATTATGTAGAACATGATTTGACTATTAACTACCTTCCTATTAAGCAGATATTAATGGTACTGAATACGTTTACATCATGGTTGGGCTGCCCTGCTAGTATTTCTTAATTTCATTCAATAAATATTTGATCTAAATTCTCTTAGATGTTATCTTTAGCCTGTCAACTGATGGTCAGGTGATCATTTCAAAATACAATTAAGGTGGCAGAAAATTTGTCAAAAACCTAACAAAGTTGAAAAATGGGCACTTGGGTGGCTCAGTTGGTTAAGTGTACAGCTTCAGCTCAGGTCATGATCTCATGGTTTGTGAGCTCAAGCCCCACATGGGGCTCTGTGCTGACAGCTGAGAGCCTGGAGCCAGGTTCAGATTCTGTTGTCTCCCTCTCTCACTGCCCCCTCCTTCACTCATGCTGTTGTCTTTCTCAAAAATAAATAACCATGGAAAAATATTTAAAAGAAAAAGATGGATCTAGTGAGCTTTCCAGCTGTCATTTTCTAGTGGACATCAAGAGTTCAGTTACCCAGTTATCCCATTAAAAACTTTAGGGTGGGCATAAATTTAAATAATGAAATATCATACATTCAGTTATCCACTCTGAGGGTATAGGGGAAGGAGTTAAAATGTTAATAGAGGCTTTTAAAGTTTACATTTCCTTTACAATTATATATTGCATATTTTGTCTAAAGGTTGACTAAATAGAGGCAAGAATCTTACCACTTTACATGTATGAATAAGAACATATTTGTACCCATAGGTAATATTTACAACCCAGTATATCAATGTACAATACTAGGGGAAAAAATTCCCATTCCTACTTGCAAATTAAAAATCTCTTCACCTAGATCAGAAGGCCAACTCTGGACCCCTGGCCAAATCCAGCTGGTGCCTGTTTCTGTATGTTCCATGAACTAGAATTGTTGTCTACATTTCTTAAGGCTGAAAAAAAGCCAAAATAATATACTTTTTAACTGAAAAGCATAAAAAATTCGAATTCAGTATCCATAAATAAAATTTGTTTTGGCATAGAGTGGCCAAAACAATACTGTCCGTGGCTGCTCTGAGGACTGCTATGACAGGGTTGAGCAGCAACAGAAACATTATGGTTTGCAAAGCCTGAAATACTATCTGGTCCTTTACAGAAAGCATGCTGACCCTTGGCATACATACTCCTCACTTGGAGGTAAGGGAAGGGAAGAAAATCAAAAGTCCCAAAATTAGAAGTCTTGCAGAGGATAGGTTTGGTTGATTTTTCAGAACCAATTTTCAGTGTCTTTACATAAGGGATGAGGACTCTAACTAATTACTTTCCTTCACTTCTTACTATTTATTGCCTTCACCTGTTTATATTTCTGGCCTTGTGTCTGAAGGCATCTGAGTTTGTAATGAATGATTTAGATGAGTGGTCCTCAAACCTTTCTGTAAGGCCAGGCAGTAAATGTTTTAGGCTTTGTGATAAAATAAGTTGGCATACTGTTTTTAATGAACAAAATTCAAAGTATAATTGACTATATCTAATTACATTGTCTAACTCATTTTGGGGGGAATAGCACTTGTTCCTTTAATTGAGGTTCTAAATGTTTCCTATCAAAATCTGTTGTAAATGATTACCTGTTAATACATTTATCTGTAATGAGATTTAAAAATGTCTTTTTTACACAGATAGATACTGCCAAATACTGGCATCAATCCAGAAATATACGATTTTAACTGGCTATTTTCATCACTTGGAAGACATTTGTAGAACCCTATTAGATTCTTCCCTTGATATTTGCCTTTTATCATGTCATTACATAGCACATTAATCACTTCCAATTGAACATTAAGGTAGAAGCTCAATTATGGTAAGTGGATTTTGAAATATGTAGATTTCCTTTGCATTTTTGCCAGGGTCCAAAAAATGCTGAACACAGAAAATATCTCTACTGCTAATTTGAAAGTGGGAATCTTGTTTCTTGTTTTAATTTTTGATAGCATGAGAAGTGTGGAACAAAAGATACTGTGATTCAAATATCTGTTGAAATGACTACCCCAGTTTCACATTAGCATTGTTTGCTTTAGAATTATATGTTAAAACCTTTAAGCAGTATTGACATTTGCAAAAGCTGATTTCCAGACCTATCCAGTGGTCTAGAATAATGTTTAAGAGTGGTTCCTCTTATTAAGAAAAATCTGTCTTGACCTTGAACTCGAAAAATTGCAATCAAACTGGATAATTACTAAGCAAATCAAACTGAGGTTGAGCAAGCCAGATTCAAATTCAAATTCTGAACAAAATTCAAGGACTTGAGGATGGTTAGGATCCATGAAAGCAAATGAAACTTAGTATTGACACTACTGGTTTGTAATACACAACAGGTTCAAATATCTTCTGCAGGGAACTTGCTGGTGAAGAAGGAAGTGAATAACCACAAATTTTGTATGTTACGTTTTCAGAAGCTCTGTAGATTTCTCCAACTAGGTTTTTTTTTTTTTTTTTTAATGTTTGGTTATTTTTGAGAGAGACCAAGCATGAGTGAGGAAGGGCAGAGAAGACAGACACACAGAACCCGAAGCAGGCTCCAGGCTCTTGAACTATCAGCACAGAGTCTGACACGGGGCTTGAACTCTCATACTGCGACATCATGCCCTGAGCTGAAGTTGAACACAACCGACTGAGCCAGCCAAGTACCCCGATCTAGGTCTTTTTCTACTTCACTTATCTTTTACCACCATCAGTTGTAACACATCATAGCAGATTCCACTTCGGGTTGTACAGAATTGGGTGTTTTCTCAACTTCTTTAAAAAGACTCATCCATAGTTGTTCCATGCAGAGTGTTCATAGAAGCTTAATTCTTTAGTGACTTCAAACTCAGCACTGATGTCTCAAATAAATAAGACCTGAACACTATCAGTAACATCTATCAACTCATCAAGAATCAGACTCCTCTCATTTACCTTTTTAATTGACTTGATTTTGTTCCCAATGTCCTAACCTCTTTGAGCAACTATTCTTTCCAAAAGGCCAAGAGTCTCAAACAATTTTACTTTCCCTGGATCCATTTCTTTGGCTTCTGGACTCAAATACAATTAACTCACCATCAGTAATTGGCTTTCCTTGCTTGAGTTAACAAGAGTTCCTTGGAGACTCATTTTCATTTTTTATTTTGTGAAGAGATTCGGCTCAATTGAGACATTTCTAGATTATATTTCTAGTTTTTCTGACAGTTTGTCTGTGAGTGAAATACTAGATAAGTGCTTCTATTGATTACGTCAATGTATTTTAGCTTAAGTTAAATTGTTATCTAGTTCATTATCAAAATAACGGACTCTCCACCGTGCCTTCAAAGCACATTAGAAGTCCAATTTTCTTGTTCTGAAATGATGGGCTATACCCTGGTAATAATAATAAAAATGTATTATACTTTGGTGATTTACATGACATTCAAAATGCTGTTGAGTTACAACCATGTCACTGTGATTTGTAGTGTGCTGAACAGCAAGAAGCGCTAAGAATCACTTCCTGTCCGTGTTTTAACAACTCAACACTGCTTTTATCCCATAAAAGCTGCCACAGACAGCATGTAAACATACAAGCAGGGTGTGTTCCAATAAAACTGTATTTATGGACACTGAAATTCAAATTTCATATAATTTTCATATCACAAGATTTTTAGAATTCTTTTTCAACCATTAGTGTAAGAACCATGCTCAGATCATTTATTTGCCATACAAAACAGGTGGTAGGCTAGCTTTGGCTTGTCAGGTATAGTTTACCATCCCTGATCTAAATAATTTCATTTTATTTTTAAAATTTTTTTAATGTTTATTTCTGAGAGAGAGAGACAGCGAGAGCAGGGGAGGGTCAGAGAGAGAGAGTCACAGATGCTGAAACAGGCTCCAGGCTCTGAGCTGGCAGTCAGCACAGAGCCCGACGCGGGGCTCGAACCCACGAACCGCGAGATCATGACCTAAGCGAAAGTCGGACGCTTAACCGACTAAGCCACCCAGGCGCCCCCAATAATTTCATTTTTAATTACTTATACAGTGACAGTTTAGGGGTACTTATAAAATTTAGGGACACTCTTCAACTGAGGATCACTGCAAAGTGAAAATAGTGCTTTCTTAGTTAGAAGGCAATTATCCCACCTCCAATAACTATTTTCCCAGGAGATAATCAATTTTTAAATATATTTATCTAATGCAAAATTAGATATAATTTAGATTATAAGATTATGATTATAACTTAAATAAAGTAGACTTACTTCATTTAAATTTTAATTTGATAATCAACTTAGCAAGGGTAAAATATAAGTGGTCAATACTAAAATGAATGCTAAAATTGTATGAAATAATACAAACTTTTTTTCATTACATAAAGGTCTAGTGGGCAGATGGAGAAAACATTTCCAATTATGTGACTGAAGCAATTTGAGTTTTTTCTTCTGAAAAGACTTTCTCTGTCTTCTGGCGTTTAAGAGGTGGGTCGTCCTGATTCTCTGTAACAAAGCCAAAAAACCTGTTTTAGGTAAGATACTTAACATTAGAAAATACCTTTAAAAAGCAAATAATATGGCATTTTAAAGATTTTTAATACTCAACTTATACATGAAATAGTAACATGCCTGCAGATTATTTTAATGAAATAACCTTCTACTAGATTGAACAGTGTGTATGTCATACTAACATTTGTAGAATTGGGAGAAACCAGTCACAATTGAGTGTCAAGGAATATTGAACTGAAGTATCTGACTAGAATTAGTTTAACCTATTTCCAAATATAATGTATATTAAAGCTACATGAAAGGTATTATAGTTTATATTTTATTTCCCAGAAATTGCTCACCTAGAGTTAGGGTCTGGTCCTTGTAGAGCACAGCAGAAGGAATCCGAAAGGTGATACATAACATTTCCTTGTTCGGGGCTACATTTCTTACTAGGTGAATTGAACTGCATGCCTCCAAGGAAATGCCTAACACAGCCCCAGCTCGCTGCTGAACATCTTTAGCAGGATTAGGGTCTTTGGAAAAGCTGTAACAGTGCACTATGGGAAGGAGTTCAATGCCACATGGCGGCCCATCTAATAGCAATTTGAAGACACTGAGAAATTCAATAGCCTTTGCTGGCAAGTTCATGACAATGTGCACAGAGTGTTTTCTTTCTTTGGACAGTGGTCCCAGCTGCTGCATTAACTCTTCTCTGACTGGTCCTTGAAGGAAGTCTTTCCCATCCAAGTTAAAGACTTTCACCTTTTGGTCCACTTTATTTAATTTACAATTGTGCAATAGCCATTTATGAGATTCAGGATTGAGATCATTAGCAAATACAGTGCAATTTTTCTTTGCTACTGGAATGGCAAAAGGCCCAACCCCAGCAAAAACATCAAACAGCACATCTCCAGGTTTCAGAAGTTCTGTGATGCGACTGTGTTCTGTAGAGAGACGAGGATTCCAATAGACTTTCGAAAAATCAAATTCATATGTGTAGCCATTTTCTCGAACCTGAAAAAGACATTATTCCTTGGTTAACCTGTTTAGTCTTAAATTCCAACCATGGAAACCGGATGAGTATACCCACACATTTGAATTAAGAGCAAATAACAGTGCATTTTAATTAGAATTCTGGTGTTTATGCTATTCTTGAAGCCAATTAACAACCTGCATTAGACTTTGACCTAAGAAAAGTCATCTCTTTAAAGTCAAATGATTCTCTATCTCATTCTACGGGGTGATAAAGTGGTTCCCAAATCACATGAGGCATTTTTTTTTAGACAGACCAACTGACTGGCTTAATCATACTCTTATTTTGTCACCTGACAGGGAAATAAACCTATAATTTGAAACAACACAAAACATATCTTCATGATGACTAGCTAAAGTTGCAGACAACACTTCCACTCAGCAAACAATCCTCCTTAGTTTTCAGTTTGTAAGAGGGAGGCATGACAGATATGTCTTGTCCCAGGGCACCTGTGTGGTTCAGTTAAGCATCCAACTCTTGATCTCAGCTCAGGTTATGATCTCATGGTTCGTGAGATTGAACCATGAACAAATTTCACGTCTACAAATTATAGCCAGTATACAGAACAAATGATTCCCCTATGATTGAGCCTAGCCCACGCTAGGCTCTGCACTGGCAACGTGAAGCCTGCTTGGAATTCTCCTCCTCCCTCTCTCTCTTCCCTTCCCCGGCTTGTGTGTGCATCCTCTTGAAATAAATAAAAAAATTTTTTTTTAAATCTTGGAAAAAAAGACGTGCCATGTACACACTGGGTTTCGAGGTCTTTTTCTATGTTTTTAGACAGTTACTTGGACTTTACGAATTTCATGTCTACAAACTACAGCCAGTGTACAGAACAAATCATTCCCCTATTTTCTCTTTTCCCAATTTGAGTTTTCATGGATTAAACTAAATATATTTGGCGAAGCTAAGTCTTGAACAAATTTAAAATTTAAGAAATAAACTATTTGTAAAAAAAAAAAAAAAATTTAAAACTGTGTGCCTTTTTTTTTTTTTTTTGGAACTATTATAAACATGAAAGAAAACAGAAAATAAAACTAAAAATACAGTCATGGCATGTGACCTCAGCCATCACTTTAAGCCCCTTATTTTAACGGATGAAGAATCAAAAGGCCAGAAAATTTCCTAAGTTCTACAAATCTGATAGAGATACATCTTCTATATTCTGCCTTCATGGAATATTCTGCCTTCAAACTTGTGTAAATAGTTTTTCCTCCCAACCACATCAGATGCTCTGGCCATTTAAGGCTCCAGAGCTGGAAATGTTTCTTCATTATTCTGCCAACTAAAACTCTAGATCTATAACCTGCAAAGTCTGAATATGTCTTGGGATGCTTTTCCTGAAATATCCCTTCTACTCCCCCTTTTTAAGGTGAAGCATAGTACTAGTTTAAATAACTTAGATTTTAAGTATCCTTCTGGTTTTACACACACAGTCCTTGAACCTAATGCACTCAGTTAGCATTACTTTCAGCCCGACTCACTCTCAGCAATCTTTTTACTCACAATAGACACAGAGTACTTATGTTGCATGAGCTCCTAAAGTTAAATGTAATTCTGTTTGTGGCAAAGAAATTATACTGAGTGAGTTTTTATATTTATTTTATGGTATAAATGTTAAGTATAAAATATATCCTAAGAACAAACTTCAGTTGACTAAAGAAATCAATCAGAAGCCATTTAAAAAATCACAGAAGTTTCTGAGAACTTTTAGATCTGAGAAGGAAGCTACCTGCTACCCTAACGGGTGCTACCAAATGAAGAACACACAGCACTCAATCAGGGTATGCTGAGATAAGCACGGACACCAGCAGAGGATTCACATTCAAATCTTACTTGCCAGATCAGATCCCACACAATACACATAAGCAGAAGACCATGGAGGTTATACAGGGAAAGACCATGCATGCACTCTGGAGTCAGAAGCCTGGCTCCAAAAACCCAGCTCAGTCATTCTTGTTACTTCAGTTGCATAAAAAGAATATTAAAAAACACCACCATTATATTTACCCAAGGGATACAGATGTGCTCTTTCGAAGGGGTACATGTACCCCAATGTTTATAGGAGCAATATCGACAATAGCCAAAGTTTGGCAAGAGCCCAAATGTCCATAGACAGATGAATGGATAAAGAAGATGTGGTATACCTATACAACGGAGTATTACTCGGCAATCAAAAAGAATGAAATCTTGTCATTTCCAACTACGTGGAAGGAACTAGAGGGTATTATGCTACGCGAAATTAGTCAGAGAAAGACCAATATCATATGATCTCACTCATATGAGGACTTTAAGATACCAAACAGATGAACATAAGGGAAGGGAAGCAAAAATAATACAAAAGCAGGGAGGGGAGCAAAAACATAAGAGACTCTTAAATATGAAGAACACACAGAGGGTTACTGGAGGGGTTGTGGGAGGGGGATGGGCTAAATGGGTCAGGGTCATTAAGGAATCTACGCCTGAAATCATTGTTGCACTGTATGCTGACTTGGATGTAAATTAAACAATAAACAAATTTCAAACAAAACAAAACAACCACCATTATCTTATGGGCTTCTTAGGATTTCTTATATTTAAAACATTAGCTTAGGCTTAATAGTAAGTATGTAGTAAATGGTGTTTTAATATTCTACTACAATTAAATTATGGAGAAATAATATTATACTTAAAATATTCACCTAAATCTATGTGGCCCAGAATCTTAAAAAATAATTAATTTGCATAAATTCTCTTCTGGATTTTATAAAGTCCTATTTAAAAGAAAGAAGTCAGAGAAAGACAAATACCATATGATTTCACTTACGTAGAATTTAGGAAACAAAACAGATGAACATATGGGTAGGCAAAAAAAGAGCAGGAAGCAAACTTTAAGAAACTCTTAACTATAGAGTACCAAGGGTTGCTGGATGGGAGATGGGCTAAATGGGTGATGGGCATTAAGGAGGGCACTTGTTGGGATGAGCACTGGCTGTTATGTGTAAGTGATGAATCACTAAATTCAACACCTGAAACCAATATAACCCTATTTGTTAACTAGAATTTAAATAAAAACTTGAAACAAAAAAAGATTAATATCTTAAGAGTAGAATTCGTTATTAAAATTTTTGTCAAGTTATGGAGAGAAGTTAACGGATTTCCTAGCTTGTCTACAAAACTTCACGTAATGTTAACATATAATTATCTAAGACTTTTGGCTCAAAAATGTTTATATTATCCAGGACTTCAGAGGATTTTGTAGGTAGAGGATGAGAAAGTGGTTTATCCCAGGAATCTGTTCCTACATAATAAAAATATTTTTTCTTTGCAATAGATTTGTTTTTCTTGTAAAAGAAATATGTGCTCTGTAGAAGAGTATAAAGATGAGAACAAAGGTCACTGGTAACTACTATATCAAACAAAAATATGCCCACTGTTAACATTCTGATATATGTGCATATTTACATAGATATTTAGTTAAAATGGAGCTATGTATATATACTAGTCTACAACTACCTTTTTTGTCACTTACTCTATCAACGGGCAATTTAGTAAGTGTGGAGCTCAGTAATCGTTAGATGGAGTATCCCATTGTGTTGTAATGCCAGAATTAATCAATTCTCTGATGAACATTTAGGTTGTTTCTATTCCTTTGTAGAACCTAGTACATACATCACTACAATTTTCTCCAATTATATCCTTGAGATAACTTACTGTTAATGGAATGCTAGGTCAAAGGATGTACCTATTCATGGTAATATATTACCATATATTCTTCCTGAATACTTGTATCAAATTTGCACCTCCATCAAAGGGATACATAAATGCTCACATTCCCACATACACATCAATATTGGGTTATTATAAATAGTTTTAGTCTTTGACATCTACTCTGATTCAAAACATTAATCCTGATATAATTTGTACCTAGGAGAAAATAAAATATTCCATACCTTGGTCATCATGTTCTCCTCTCCAGACAGTACTTCCATTTGGAAATTTCGGTATGTATTATCAATGTTATTGATTTTATTTACTGCTGAGGTGATTCCTGGATTTTTATCAATCATAACTTGACCTGAAAGATAAGAATTCATAAATATTGCCAATCGGTTGCAAAATAAAACTGAAAATATGAAATGAAAATAAAACTGTATTTCTTTTGGTTTATAGACAAAAATTGCAGCTGGTGTGTATATCATGGCATGCAATTCTAAAAATTCAGATTAGCAAAATTAATTAATGTCTACCAGCCTCTAATACAAACACACACACAAAAAAGCATATGGGTATATTTTAAAGTTTTTATTTATTTATTTTGAGAGAGAGAGAGAAGGAGTGCGCTAGTGTGCACATGAGCAGTGGAGAGGCAGAGAGAGACGGAGAGAGAATCCCAAGCAGGCTCTGCACTAACTCAAGCTCATGAACAGTGAGGCAGGGCTCAGACTCATGAACTGTGAGATCATGACTTGAGCAGAAATCAGGAGGCAGACACTTAACCGACTGAGCCACCCAGGCACCCTTTATGGGTACATTTTCAAACAAAAATTTTTGAGGAGTTTGGGTCTAATATTTTTCCATGTTTTTTTAAATTAAATCTCAATACACAACAGTAAGTAAAAAAGTAGACCATAAGGTAAAGAACAGAAAGAATAAGTGTAAGGACCATGGGAACAAGTGATGTCAGAAATCACCAGCCTGTTCCCACTGGCCTAATCAAATGTCTGCCTTACTGTGTACTTGAAATAGATGCCTCCACTTTGGATATACGTACCAGTAAAATAAGTTTACAAATAAAAGAAACATATTCTTTAGAGTCTTATCTAAGTAAAATGTTCATTTACTTAAATTGTTCTTTTTGTCAAATATTTGCCAGAGCAGAAAAAGATAATAAAATACACCAGAAATGGTATATTGATACCCTTTACTTAAAGTCTACTTTTTGGTTAACACTTAAAAAAATTGTAAGAATCTGTAGGTCATGTCATTGCATAAAGAAAGATAACTTGTTTATAAGGTGGTAAAAAGTTGTCAATAATACAAACACGCTGATATAGAATCTGCCCAATTTCTTTTTGATAATTAGACACCTGATTTTGAATATGACTAGCGGATCACTGTTCTTATCCTGTTCTGCTTCAGGTATCAGAACTCAATTTTTAAGGTACAATAGTTTGAAATGAGGAATGAAATTTAAAAAACCAAATCTGAAAGTCTATAGCAAAAGCTTTAAAATCACTGCTGTGTGAAAATGCTTCACTTTTAATCCAGGGGGGCCCCTGAATAAAATAGGGACGCCAAAAGGGATGTTTTGAGTTCTGACAGGTGATGACTCATACAGAGGAAAGCTTATCTTTGACATTTGTACCCAGGCATAATTATAAAGATCTGCTTAATTATTTATCATATTATCATTATGCATTATCAGCCCCCTTTCATCAATAAAAACAAAGGAAATGCATAATAGCATATTTCTCAAATCCTAATCATGGAAAATACTGAGAACTATATTTGTTTTGTTTTCTATTCTATTCTATTCTATTCTATTCTATTCTATTCTATTCTATTCTTATTCTTTAGTGAGAGAGTCCATGCAAGCTGGGGAATGGAGCAGGGGGGGGGGAGGGCAGAGAGAGAGAGAGAGAGAGAGAGAGAGAAGGAGAGAATCCCATGCAAGCTCCATGCTCACCATGGAGCCTGACATGGGGCTTGATCCCACGACCCTTGGGATCACGACCTGAGCTGAAATCCATCAACCAACTGAGCCACCTAGGTGCCCTGTGGACATTTTAAAGGTGAAAATAAATCTCAGAAGTTCTGACAATTATTCTACATTAAAAAAAAAAATTTAATCTGGAGAATACCCAGACAACAAACATTTGTATAAGGATAACTACAATTGTGATTAGTCTACTTCTTTTTGTCCCAAACAATAAAGAACTCAGGCTCAAACATGGGCTTACAGAGGTACAACAAACAAAAGCACTTTTTTTTTTTTAATGTTTATTTTTTAGAGAGAGAGAGATAGAGAGAAAAACCTAGCATGAGCAGGGGAGGGGCAGAGAGAGAGGGAGACACAGAATCTGAAGCAGGCTCCAGGCTCTGAGCTGTCCGCACAGAGCCGGACACTGGGCTTGAACTCATGAACCATGAGATCATTACCTGGGCCAAAGTCAGATGCTCAATGACCCAGGTGTCCCCAAAAGCATCATTTCTAAATGGCAAAGGGAACTAAAAAACAAACTATGGTGACAGACATATAGAAGGGGCTCAATCAGTTGAATCAAAGTATGAATAAACAGGGACTTGAACTTTTGATGGTAAACACTCAAATTTCAGAAACCTAGAATTCAACATAGTCCTGAGGGCCTAATAAATCCTATGTACCAAATGACGAGGTGCCAAATAATTCTGTCAAAGCTAAAGATCTGAGTTTAATCTATGCTTGTATATTGTGTACAGAAATGCCTGAACTGATTTTTAGAGCTTGCTATCACTCTGGAAAGAGTATTCCAAAATGACTCTCAAAAGAAAGGGTATGGAGCCCAAGATGCAGCTTAAAATTCAAATGATAACATGTGCTGCTTCTGTAATTTGACATTTAAGAAAATAATTTTAAAAACTAAAATTAGAACTTACTTTCTAGTACATGAATATGACTAAGACACACCTACCAATTAAATGCTTGAAAGGTAGTTGATGATCTCGAAGGTTCAGGTGGGCAATATGTCCAACTCTGCTAAATCCTGAAGTCACATCTTGACCTTCAGGAAGCACAGCTCTCAAGATTTCTTCTGACTTAAAGTTTTCATAAGTGAGTTCCAAGTTATATTTACATATCTGTGGACTGACATTAAGCTGCTTTAAAATACTGAGTTCTGCGCTCTCAAAGGAATCATCAGTAAATATTTTATGGGGATCCAACAGAACTAGTCTACTTTCTTCATCTTCTGGATCTTCAATCACACGTTTTATGCCCGGGCGCTGCAGTGCTGCCCTTTTAAGGGATCGCATCAATTGATTGACTATTTCTTTTCTCACTTTAAGTACTGGGATGGTGACCATCTTTTTAAAAGCTGCTCTATCAAGTTTTGTCATTCCTCGAACATTAGAGGGTGGTGAAAACAATTCAGAGTCTCTCTGGTTTGTTTCTATTTCAGTCATGGTGGAGAATCTTCTCCTTTGATCCAACAAGGAAATACAAGGTGCTCTGCTGAGCCTCTGTATCTGTGATGTCCCAGCGAGTGGAATTAATGGTTCTGATTCAGATATTCTACAGCTTTCCGCTTTGAAAAGTACTGAGAATCCAAATCGCCTCCATAAGGTCCTAAAAGAATAAAGGATGCACTTAAAGCTACAAAGTTACATGTTCACAATACGTTAAGAATAAAAACTTCTAAGTTCTACAGTTTTAAGTAACATGCTAAATGCTGATTATTGAAACTTCTAGGGGTGTGTGAGAAGTATACTATCTTTTCCATGATATGTTATCTTTTATTAGTAGTAAATAATAAATTTGCACCTTCAACCCATCTGCTGCCAGGACAAGGACTTAGTGATCCATCAGCCTCCCTATAGTCAATGAACCTCTCCACCCACAATTTTCTACAGAATACATCTGAGATTGGAAGGCTGACGTTTCAGTTAGAAGATCGTCTCTAAATGAAATGGTCATTATATTTATGACTTTACTAATGGCAATATTTACTAGGATACTTATGGATGCTTATTACATCAGAGGCTGTGGTACATACTTTACACACATTATCTATCTTGGGAGGTGTGTGGTATTACATCCTTATTTTGTAAACGAGCAAACTAAAGGTGAGAATCAGGTTAATTCACCTGGTCTCGTTGCTGTGAGCGCCTGGGCAAGGATTAAAAACCAGGTCTATCTGACTGACTTCAGAACCTGTATTCTTAATATATTGATTGGTATGTTGTTTGTCTTCAATGTTTTACTACAAGTCCTGTCTATAACTTGGTTTCAGTATTTTGGGGTCTCAGGCTTTGTGGAGTACTATGTCTATTCCATTAACAGTATCAATTATTCACTTTACCTTCTAGAATACCCAAGAAGTAACTGGAAGGGGAGAGGCTCCGGCCCCAGACCGTGTAAAGCAATTCTTAAACTTCACAGGGTTCAAATTCGGTCTAGAGTTAACCAGCTGCGTGATCTTGTAATTTCTTAATCGGAGTCTCGGTTTCCCACATGTAAAATGTGGCTAAAGGCTCTATCAGAAAGCTTCTGAACAGATTAAACACATTCCTTCGTACCCAGTACTAGGACCTAGGCTCAGCACCCAGGCGGCGGGCGACCTCGCGACATTTCTGCGCCAAGAAGCACGTGGCAGAGAGCAGACCTTGGTGGACCGGTACCGCCACCCGACCCTCCGCCTCGCCGATCAGGGGCACTGCGGTCACCACCTCACCAACGTCACCATCCCAATTCCCGGCGTCCCTCGGTGACTGACTCCAAGTCTAGACCCCTCACCTCATGCTCCGTTGCGCCTCGGAAAAGAGTCGCTCTTGGAAGGGCTGGCCCTCGATGACATCATCACTGTTCGCCGCCGAGGGGCTAGCGTCATCAGAGCCCGTCGATTCCCTTCTCTCTTCCCCGCCCCGGGAAGTACGGAAACCCGGAAGGGCCGGGTTCCCCGCCCCGCCTCCGGCGCGGCTAATGACTGGAGAACTGAGGTAGAAGCTCGCAGATGGACCTGGTAGTCGGCCTGCAAGCAGCATGGAAGCGCCCTGGGGGATCAGCAACGCTGAGCGAAGCTGGTACGTCTCTGCCCAGCGGTCTGAAGCGGCGGAGGCGGAAGAGTTGAGCCCGTTGCTAAGCAACGTAAGTTTCCTCCGCTAGCTTCTGGGTGCTGCAGGCCTCCGGCCTTTTTCCTGAAACGCCTGAGAAATGAGACCAGGAAAAGAAGGAGGTGGGGGTGCTGCACGGGGAGAAGGGAGAACCTGGAGCCTGACTCTTGGGGAATGGGGCCCAAAGGCAGGAGCCAGATGCAGATGAGATCCGGCGAGTGCATGAATGCAATTGCAGCGTAACTTGCTCTAGAAAGAAAGTAAAGGCACAGACACAGGTGAAAGAGGTGCAGCACCGTTTGGGGGCTGGGGACCAGACTGGATGAGCAGCCCTGGCGTTATGTAACTTAGTGCTGTCTGTTAATGTCTTTCTCGACTTCCTCTTCCCTCTACCAGTCTTGTGAGGTTTTTGCCAGAGTCACAAGATTTTTCTTCTCTAGACTTAGTAATTAGTTCCTAGAAACCTCTTCATACAAGAGATTCTTAGCGGTGAAGGAGTAGAAGTGGCCTGATAATAAATACATAGCACTTCCCAGACCCTAAAACCTGTGCAAGGGTCCCTCGGCTTTTTAACTCAAGTCTCTGGACTGTAACAATTTCTAGGACTTTGCTCACAAATGCTGTTTTGGCAGAGGGTGTTTTCAGGGATATCCTCGGTAGACAGCAACGTGTATTGCTTCTATTTATTCTATCGTCATTGCAAGGTATTCCCGATCATCCTTGCATTTGAGCTGACTTAATGCATTAAATATAGAGAGATTACTTTTGCAGTCCTAGTAATTGGGAAGCAGCCATTGTCTACAGGGGCCCCAAGCTGAGTCAGGAATTCTTCAGTAATCACATGAGCTGAGGCTATTCTCCCTCCTCTCTGTCCCACCCCATTCCTATCCTATCTTCACCTTTTGCAGTCACAAGGTTAGTCATGGTTTTCCCTGAAGCCTGTCTGGTCTCTGTGCTGGTGGAGATGATTTTCCTAGGAAACAAGTCTTTTCTGGCACTGTGCTAGTGGGAGGTGGGAAGGGAAGAAAGGAAGCCAGTGCTGCTTGAGGACTTAGTGGGTCTCGTAGTGCCTGTGGTTTGCAGGAGACTTTCTCCATGGCTTGTCATTCATTTCTTGATGAAATCTGAACTTCACCATCCAAACACTTAACACTGTTAAATTTGTGTGCTTGCAGGAACTTTACAGACAGGGATCCCCAGGTGTTTCATTTGGTTTTTCTGTGTTTAATTTGACAAATGCCATCATGGGAAGTGGCATCCTTGGCTTAGCTTATGTTATGGCTCATACTGGCATCCTTGGATTTAGGTGAGTTTTTTCAACCCCCCACCCCCACCCCCCATTTTGATAGTACACTGAGAAGCAAAGAGGCTCCAGAGCTGGTGTTATACAATTTCTAGTTAAATCATTTCCAAAGGTTTAGCCATTTTCCTGCAACTTATATATTATTGTTAGTCTGTAGTTTGGAGAGATGCTATATTTGTACTTTTTTTTTCCCAAAAGTGTGACAAATTTTTAAAAATGGAAACAACCTGTATTTGTTTATAATAACGTTAAGAAGTGGCTATTTGTTGTGTCACACGTTGGCCAAAGTGAAGTAAAGTTTATCAGCTATACAGATTAATTGTAAATAGCAATTGTGTGAAATTGTGTGGAAAGCACATAATCTTTTCATTTCTCTCCATCTTTTCCTGTCCTCCGACTGTTAGGTAGTCTTATTTCCCTGAGTCTACACATGTGTTCTGTTCCTATTCCTCTTCATCTACACTCAACTCATATGCCAGTTGGCCCAAAATAGGAGACATTCTTGGCTTTTCTGTGTTTCCATAGTACTTTATTCATTCTGTTATAATGTGTGGTAATGATTTGTTTGCACATTCGTTTCCCTGCTAAATTGAAATCCTTTAGAACTAGACCTAATCCTTAGCATCAGCAAGTTTGTTTTGTTTATCAGTAGAAGCAGACCCATTTTACCAGGAAATTTAAAATGCATAGTCTCATTTAGGTTTATTTTTTGCTTTTATTTTGAATTTCTTGACAAGCAAACCAACTTTTAAGGAACCCAGCTTGCTTTTATAATGGGGTATATACACAAACTTTCATAATTTTTTTAAATTAAAAAAAAAATTTTTTTAAGTAGGATCCACGCCTAAGTAGGGCTTGAACTCACCCCCCTGAGATTAAGAGTTGCATATTGTACTGACTGAGCCAGCCAGGTGCCCCTCATCATTTTTTAAGAGTTTTTATTTTAACTCCAGTTAACATACAGTATTATCACTATATTGTAGTGATTCAACACTTGCAGTACAACACCCGGTGCCCGTCACAACAAGTGTTCTCCTTTATCCCCATCACCTGTCTCACTCATCCTGTAGCCCCTTACTCTCTGGTAACAGTTTGTTCCTATAATTAAGAGTCCATTTCTGATTCCTCTCTTCTGTTTGTCTTGTTTTTTAACAAACATTCAGAATTTTAAAACTTTGAAACCGTATGTGACATTTTGGCAAGACATAATTATAGGACTTCGTTTGGGTTCTCTTTGAAAAAAATCACATTTTGTCCTCCAGGGTCTTACATGCAGATATATACCACCAGACATGTCCTCACTGAGTCATATCACATTTGCCATGCAGTGACACCAAACTGTTATTTTGTGAGGCTTCAGGTATACTTGTGTGCAAGTGACCAGTGTACCTCTCAGGTTTGCTACTTAATAACAAGTATTAAGTGGGCCAAAAGTAACTTTTGGGGTATGCTCCGCTAGAGCTGGCTTTCTAGAAGCTTGTCAGCATCTCCCTGAGAATAAGTAGGAAATTATGCATGTTGTCTCTCTTCCCACTTTCAGTGAAAGGACTCCAATTATTTCATCATCTGCACCTTTTCGAAGTGTGCTATTAACACATCAAATGTGTTGACTGCATTTGTTTGGCTTGGTGGATGTGTGTGTTGAATGCTCGGAAATGCAGTCTTAATTCAGTATTATAGATGAGGTATTATAAATTATAGGTGGGAGGTACAATCATTGGAAGAGAAGAGACAGAGGGAAGGAAAAAGAAGACAATGAGATTCCACCAGCAAAACTTCTGTTTGGATTTAGAAAGGAAGAAATAGTTATAAAAGGGAAGTATTGCAAGATCACCGAATGGCTGAACCAGCAGTCAGCAGGCAAGCGTGCTGAAGGGGGAAATACGGTTTTGTTTCAAATACAGTTTGTTTCTTTCTGATTGTTTTTTTAATTTAAAAGCAATATATTTTCATTTAAATAAAATTTGGTAAATGCAGAATAATATTTTCTTACTTTCTTTAGTGGCCACAATCCAACTTAAAGATCATCTTTGTGAACATTTGAATGTGAAAAAGAATTGGTTTTTTTTTAATAAGATACCTCAAAAAAGAAACCTTTGTGGGGAGGTTGACCATGTACTCTTTTATATTTTAGTATCTTGCTGCTGATAGTTGCTCTCCTGGCTTCTTACTCAGTTCACCTCCTGCTAAGTATGTGTATTCAGACAGGTGAGTAAAAATACGCTGAGTCATTTGTTGAAGCAGTTCCTTGAGATGATAACCACCAGTAGGACTGGATGTCTCAAATTTAAGTTCCAATAGGCATGCATTATTATTAGGTAGGGTGGTTGAAATGGAGAATTTCAAAAGGCCAAGATACACAGACCCAGTCCTAGGGAAGTATCCAAGAACAGAATGGAAGGAGGAAACTTACCTGCCTTTCTCTACAGCACACAGCATACATTTCTAGGTTAGGGTAGATTAGGGGAAACACCTGAAAGGTGTTTAAAGGCTCCAAACCTTATGTTAATGGGAAAGCATTGAACGGGTGTTAATTCTGATCATATTTCTCTTAGGGTAATTATTTCCCCAAGGAGAACGCCTTTCTAGATCTCCTGCCTTCTTTGTAGGTGGCAAGGTCACCAAACTTTGGATTTATTTAGATAGTCATATATTTTTAGTTGCAAGTCTGGAATAAGGTAGTCTTTTGTAAATGACAGATTTATGTGCAATTAAAACAATATAGATATTTATAAGTATTTTTCCATTTTGAACTTTATATGTAATTCACTTGTGTATTAAGTTCTTTTTAGTTTCAATAAGTAAAAGTATATGAATCACAGAACTGCTTTAATAAAGTTTTTCTTTTGGGATTAACAAATATTCTTTGGCTATCAACCCTGGTCTTTTTATCTGTCTAGTCTCTTCTGTGTTTAGATGAGTCAGTTTTGATGCCAGAATCATGAGTTTAATTCTTTTTCTTCTTAAGGTTTATTTATTTTTTGAGAGCATGAGTGTGCACGCTCGTATGAGAGAGAGAGCGCAAGCAAGCAGGGGAGGGGCAGAAAGAGAGGGAGACACAGAATCTGAAGCAGGGTCCAGGCTCTGAGTGGTCAGCATAGAGCCAGACGCGGAGCTTGAACCCACGAATGATGAGAGCTGAAATCAAGAGTCAGACTCTTAACTGACTGAGCCACCCAGGCATCCCATTATGAGTTTAATTCTTATGTGGGTGATTTTACTCTGCTCTATCAGGTTTTGTAGTTTTCAGACTTTTAAGAAGTTTTCAGACTTTAAGAAGCAGAATAGATACGTAAAATAGATAATGGGATTATTCTGGCTGGAACAGGTGAGAGAAACCCAAAGGTATTTCTTGAGAATTTTAAGACTCTTCAGAGTATAGTTCTAAATCCCCAGCTTTACTCTATTTCGTCTGTCTATACATCAGACATACCTGCAGATCTCTTTATAAACAATTTATAAACCATGGGGATTCTAAATCCAAGGATCTGAGATGGGACTTAGAAATGTTTTTAAAAGTCCTCCAGGTGATTCTTCTGCAAAACTGGTTTAGGCTCCACAGTTCACAGCTGTAACTTGTATCAGTGCCTTTGGGCATCCAGCCTGCAAATGTGCGCCTCTGCTTTCAAGGCAATTGGGTGATGGTGCAGAGAGATAACAAGATTAGGACACAATGCAATGATATTAATCTGAAAGTTGTCCATAAAGCATCCCAAATTCAGGAATAATAGCATTAAATAAGTGTCCTTGTAAATCCTGCTGAACTTGACTGGAATTTTAATGACCTGTTTTGAAATTTTACTTCTCTGTGTGAAAAGATCTATTTACCTAATTGGTAGTTTTCAACTTTTTTAGTTTTTAACATCTTAATAGGGTTATTTTATTATTCTATTATGGATTCTACTGAAATAGTAATATGTTAGTCAACTGTGGCAATTATGTCTTCATTACACTTTATTAATTTCAGTTATTTGGAAATAATACTCAATTTAGGAAGATTTCCAAGTAATGCTGATTTTTTTCTCCTTCACTTCATCTATATTTAACTTCAAAGTTCTGACACTGTCTGTGTTCTTTTCTGTAACTTTAGGGCATATGAACTGAAAACCTCTGTTTCTTTCTCTTTTCTTTTTCTTTTGTTTTTGTAGCTTACTTGGTCCATGAACTAACTTCTTCAGGGTTTTTCATATACATTGATGCACCCGTCTTCCATTGATTGAGTCTCTTCAGTCATTGTAAAATTCTCTATGGAGGTAGGCTTTTTTTAAATTATTATTTTAAATACACACACACACACACACACACACACACACACAGAGACATCTTAAAGACTGGAGAATAACATGTAGCTAAATTTTCTCCTCAGTATATTGGACTGTCATTAAGGGGTAGTGTGCTCAGATCAGATTCATTGGTCAGAGAGAGGCTATCATAAATCTTTACAAAATAAATTCTTCCTCTATTTGCCTGGAGTGAAAAAGAAATTTTTATCTTTATAAAGGTAAAGGATTTCTTCACATGAAATTCTTCTATTTTGGATTTTATATAGGGTTTGAGGTCTATGAAGACTTTTTTGGGGAGCTGAGGTAGCATATAAAGCTTAATCTCTCTAGACTTAGTTTATCATCTATAAAATGATAATGATAATGCTTTCCTTTTGGGATTATCATGAGAATGAAATACAATAATGTATATAAAATGCCAAGTCTTTGGTCAGTGCTAGCTTTTATTATGAGTTCTGATTGATGCAGAACACTTAAAGATCGCAAGCTGTACACACTGCTGCCTCAGAAACCATGGCTTATTATGATTCTCTGGGGAAACTTATCTGCTCAGGGAATAAACACGTAGGTCCCCTCCTCTGACCGCCTCTTCACTGTAAACAGGAAGGAATCCCAGTTGTAAATGTCAGCATGCCGGGACTGTCCCTCACTCTCCTGTCCATATAACTCCTCTCTCTAGTTGAAGTTTCATGGTATGTTATTACAATCACTCCCTTGCTCCTCCCTTTTATCATTCTATCCCTTGGGCAAAACTCCGATCATGATTGAATGTGGTTCTGCCTACTTCACACTTGCACCTGTACAGTAGAATGTTCCTACAGAAAACCACAGCCATGCAGATTGATATCACCTTAATTCAGTGTCTGGTGAACCTGTGGTGCTATTACACAATCCTTATCATCTTCAGTTCATTCACTTGCTTACTTTGCAATCTAGAAGGTGACTTTTTCACATCTTCTCTTTTCTCTCAAACCTTCACCGTATTCTCATTGATGACATTCTAAGTGGATATCCTCACTTTCTACTTCATTAAGAAAATAGAAGGAATCATAAACTCTTGCCAGCACATACACCTCTGCCTGTCTTCATTTGTGTCATATGCTCTGTTCCCTTTGATAAACTCTAGGTGTTCCTATCTAAGGCCAGCTTCCCTACTTACGCTGTGATTTCATCTGCTCTCACCTACATCATTCCAGCCACTGTCCCCCGTCTCCTCTCTTTAATCATCTTTGTTCCTGGTTTTCTTCCTATCAGCTTACACAGAATCTATCATTTCTTCCATTTTAAGAATGACTCCACATTCCTTCAATATGCTCCATGCCTTCCTAGCAAAACTCCTCAAAAGACTTATTTACACCATAATTCCTCTTCCTCTTGTTCTCTTTTGAACTCATTCTAGTTAGGATTTCCCCCATCAATCCACTGAAATTATTGTACCAGCGACTTACATTTAGTTGCTAAATCCAGCAGACAGTTATCAGCATTGACCTTAGTAGACTATTCAGCAGCATTTGACACAATTAGTTGTTCCTTCCTGTGTGTAACGCTTCTTCACACTCTCATGGTTTTGTTCCCTATTTCACTGAATACTTCTCTCTCTTTATGCTGAATCTTCATCTCTCCATCTTCTAAACATCAGATTAAACAGAGGACTATTCCTCTGATCTCTTTTCTTTTTTCCTTCCTTTCTTTTTTTTTTAATGTTTATTTTTTTGAGAGAGAGAAGGAGAGACGGAGCGTGAGCAAGGGGGAGAGGCAGAGAGAAAGAGGGAGATGCAGAATCTGAAGCAGGCTCCAGGCTCTGAGTTGTCAACACAGAGCCCAATGTGGGACTCAAACTCACGGACTGAGAGATCATGACCTGAGCCGAAGTCAGATGCTTAACCGACTGAGCCACCCAGAGCCCCTGATTGCTTTTCTTATGAACTCACTCTAGGGCTCATGGTGACCCTAAAATTTATATTCTTAGCCTTGATCTCTTCCGCTGAATTTCAGTCTCCTATCCAACTGCCTCCATGACATCTCCACTTGGATACTAATATATGTCTCAAATTAACCAAACTGTTTTTACACTGCCAATCTATACCTTCCACTGTTTTTTCATCTAAATAGGTGATAACATCTTCTTTCTAGTTGCTTAGGGCAAAGGTCTTGGAGGTATGGTGAACTTGTTCCTCCCCGCCCCCCCATACTCCAAATGGAAGCTCCAAATGTGAGTAAGTATCCATTCTATGATTTTGAAAGTAAAATGTTGACACAACATATGGAGACCATGATGAAAAGGTATAGAGGCTACCACTTGATCCAGCAATTGTACTATGTGGGGTATACCTAAATGAATTGAAAGCTTGTGTTGTCACAAAAACCTGTACATGTTTGTAGCAGTTTTTTTCATAATAGCCAGAACTTAGAAGTAACCAAGTTGTCCTTCAGTACATGAATGGATAAATGCTGATCCATCCAGACAATGAAATGCTATTCAGTGCTAAAAAGAAATGAACTATCAGGCAGTGAAAAGACATGGAGGAACCTTTGGTGCATACTACTAAGTGAAAGTAGCCAGTCCGAAAAGGCTACATCTGTACAATTCCAACTATATGACATTCTTGGAACACCTGGATGGCTCGGTTGGTAGAACATGCAACTCTTAATCTCCGGCTTATGAGTTCAAGCCCCATGTTGAGCATGGAGCCTACTTTTTAAAAAATGGCCAACAATATGATATTCTAGAAAAGACAGAGCTGTAGGCAGAGCACCGGGGATACTGGGGGTGGTAAAACTATTGTATGATACTGTAGTAATGGATACATGTCATTATTCATTTGTCAAAACCCATAGAATATACAACACCAAAAGTAAACTCTAAACTGTGAACTTTGGGTAATGATGGGTCAGTGTAGACTGAATGTTGGGAATATTGATGGT